CGGGTCTCCGCAGCTCCATCTGATGTCACAGTGTTATAACACATATAAAGCATTTTATCTTTACAAATGTAGCTGAGTCCTTGGACTGGACAAGTCTTTCAAACAGATTACTGTCTTTTGACATCCCTTCAAATGGAAGACTCGTGGGACACTTGACCACCCTACTTATCTCCAGTGACCTCTTGCTTTCTCCAGCTCTCCTCCTTCTTTCACTTTTCCTTGCTTCCTTTCTCTCTAGCCACATCTTCATCTGTTTCTTTTCCTTAAGCCCCTGCGGCTTCCCCACATTCTTCCCTTTCCCCCTTATTTCTGCTATCCTCACAGCTGATCCTACCTACTTTCTTCTTGCTTGATCTTTGTTACTTTCTTGTCTTCTTCCATGTTTCTTCAATGCCTTCTTCTGTCAGTTACCTGTCTCATCCTTCTCTGAGGTCCTTTTCATGCCTTCTCTGCTGCATTTTATAAGATTCACCTTAAGCCCCTGACGCCTTTCCCTTTCAATCCTTTCCAGCTACAGGACTTCATTTTCAAATAATGAAAATGTGAACGAATCTACAACCATAAAGATGGGTTGCAGCCTGTGTGTAGCATGTTGTGGCAGGTAAAGGATAGTCTCAACCACTCTACTAGATGCTAATATGTTGACTCCATGTTTCTATTTGACCTTTCACTTCATTACTGAGATAAAATATCAACTGAAGTCAAAAGTGTACTAACTGTTCTTTTTTTAATTGTTTGATTTAGTTACTTCACCTTTTTAAGTTACTTCACCTTTTTACTTCTGCCTTTTTAAGGAAGTAACTTGATGCTACAATTGCTTCTCTTCCTTCATCCTAGAGAAAACCAGATCACTATGAAATTTGTAAAAACCATGCGTTATTGTTGCCCTCCAGTAAACAGTGTGCAAAACATTGTGCTCAGTAGCACATGGCCAGGAGCCAGGGAATTCTTAGTTGCACCAAGAAAGCAATGGCACTTATGTTGAACAGAACAGGTAGAATTGTGGCACTCTAATAAACTGGTGATCTTGTGGGGACTGTAATTAGTCTACTTATTCTATTTATCTTTTGGAAAGTACACCCGCTTTCTGCAAATTAAGAGATACATGAAAGGAGCAAGCTTAGAGAAAAAGCTCATAAATTCAGCACTGCCATATTGTCACATTTTAACAAGTTGTAGTTCCACTCATATCCCTGGCAACACTGTAGCTAGAAAGGCTCTATCTGAATCAAATTAAAGTTTGTTGCTTACAGAACTTTTGACTTGTGTTGCATAAAACAATGGCACTGTGATCCTGTTTACAAATGTAATGCTGGTGAGTTACAATGTTATAAGCGATCGTGTAAATTTCAGTGTTCAGTAATAATTTTCTCATTCATTCAAAAATAAATGTTTTTGTAGACTTTATATGAATATTTTGACAGCACCTGTAACCCTCTAACCCACTAAATATAGGTGCATAAGTGTACCTTCATTCAACCTTGAAGGGGCTAAATCCTTTGTGCATGTTCCAAGTGAGGGGCACACAAATCATTCATGGGTGCTCATGAATTGTTCCCACCTCTGCCGCCTCCTTCTTCTCCTGTCCCATCTTACCTGGGGCAGAAGAAAAAGTGGCAGCTCCAGCTCCTCGACAGAGTATGCTTTCTTGCTATCACTTTTTGTAAGAAGAAATTGTCACTGGGGATGCTGGGAGGTGGCACCCCTTATTTTGCCTCAAATACATTCAAATGACTCTTTGCGAAGTAAGAGAAGGAGGTGACAACTGCTGAAGTGAACACTCAATGTGCAAATCAAGGGGGACTTATTGATAGCTGCTCAATCTACAACTCACTGCAAATGATCAAACAAGGGGAGTTCACTTTTACAAGTTCCCCTTTTCTGCTACTTGTGTCATCTCTACCTTTGGCTGCATAATAGAACCCCAACCAAATATTAGCAAATATGGCTGATCATACTGATTGAATAACAGAGTACTTCCAAGTGTTAGCTTCTTCAATGAAGATAATCCCAACAAAGAAGCAAATTATTGTAATTATTTATTAAATTTTTATACTGCCCTTCAATCTCAGGATCATAGGGCGGTTTACAATATCAGGAAGTACCTTATGAAAGAGACATTGTTTCGCACAACAACTGCTGTTCCCTATGCTGTCTAATATTATATTTTGAGTAGCAACAATCAGCATGACTTGTGGCACTTTCAGCATCTATATCAAGAGTACACAGCAAACCAGCATTTCGGTATTCAAGTCACATGCAGAGCACTATGATCACTGAAGAAAACAGACATTGTCTGGAAGCTCTCTGTCTTCTTCCATTTATAATGCTTTCCTCTGTTTATTTGGTGTGGTAATGGTAACAAATATATATTAACAATACATTAAACTTGACTATAAAAAAGCAATAACAGTTTCTGAAACTTAAACATAATGTTAAGTCATTCACCACAAAGCGTGTGCATGCCCTTAAAATGTGAATACCTAAAACATTTAAAGTGCCTTTCAAATTGTTTCATAGGCTGATATACAGTATATGCCCACTAAAAAAAAACCCTGCATGATAGCACTTGGTGCCTGATCTATGGATTTTTAGCTGAATGTCTCAATCTGCATTCTATTACAGAGCCTCAGAAGAGCCCTGACTACACACAATCAGCCACCTCTTCCTCTTTCTCAACTCAGTCCAAGCCAATCATATTTAAGCTGGCATGGAAATTAAAGAAAGATGGTCTGCTGGAAATTCAATCCCAGGCATGCCCAGTTAAGAAGTATCAGGTAGCAGATGATATGAGAGACCTCTGCTCAAGACCCTGGAGAGTTTTCCTCTGGCAGTCAGAGTAGACAGCAATGGGCTACACCAAGGCAATTTCTTTTTCCCCCATTCAGCCAAGCCACACACTTTCCCAGAGCAGCATGAGGTTAGGAGAGAAGGAAACCACTTCCATGCCACTCTAGTAACATACAACTCTTCCAAACGTCAATGATATGAAAACTGTAACAGCCACCCTCATGCCTTAGCTTGGCAGCAGGGGAGCTCATCGTGCCAACTGTTCTCACCACTATTGATATCACAGCAGTATCGTAGCCTAGATAATTCAGCTAATGTGAATTAAAACAAAAACAAAAAAACCCACACCTTGAACCCTGAGGTTTTTGATAACTACTGCCTGGTCACAGATTCTCCCTTCCTAGGCTTGAGAGGGTGGTGACAGGAAAGCTTCAGGAGTACTTGGAAGAAATTGATTATCTAGACCCATTTCAACACAGGTTTATCCTGGTCTTAAATCACACTTGGTCACCTTGGTAGTTCTTCTTTACCAGGAGATGGGACAGTACAACTTTGTTACTCTTGCTGGACCTCTCAGTGACTTTGAATACCCTTGGCCATGTTATCCTCCTGGACCTACTCTGTGAGATGGGAGTTTGAATGTAGTTTGAATCATATCTGAAGAACTGGTATTTTAAAAGCATTGGATGACTGCACCTCAGCCCCCTGACCCTTGTGTTATAGGGTGCCACTGGGGATTGTGCTGTTTCCAATGTTATTTATCATCTGAAGCCATTGAGAGTGGTCATTAAAAGGTTTGAAGCACAATATGCTGATGACAGTCAGCTTTATTTCTGTTACATTTGAATCAGATGAGGCCATGTAGGTACTGAACCAGAATCAAGATGCAGTAACAGGTTGGATGAAGGCCAATAAACTGAAACAGAATCCTGGCAAGAGGGAAGTTGTTCAGCAATGTGCCACTTCTGGATGAAATTGTACTCCCCCTAAAGGAACAGGTATTCAGTTGGGGAGTAATTCATCTTTGTTCTTGGAAGCCCAAGTGGCTATGTTGGCTAGCAGCACTTTCTACCAAGGTGAATGAGGGTTACTGGCAACCAGTAGGCTAGCAGGCCAAGTTCCACACTGTTTTAACATAGAGCTCTGAAGAACTTGGAACCAGGATACCTCTCTCCCTACTGCCTTGCCCGAGCTTTGAACTCAGCTTTGGAGGCCCTCTTGGTTGTGCCCCTATCTCAGTTAATGGCAACCTGTGGGAGGGCCTTCTCTCTGGCAGTCCCCTTCCTATGGAATTGTCTCTCCTTGGAGCTCTGATGATACCTTGATGCTTCCTTAAAGCACACCTGTGCACCCAAACCTTTTCACCAGAAAATTAATGGTGCTCTTGGGTTACCACTTACATACTGGTTTCACCAGTTCCATAAACTGAGTTGGGTAGAATAGGAAACTACAACTTCCATGTATCCTACCAGTATGTCTTTTGGTATGATTGGGAGAATCAGGTTTCATTCCTGTCTCCAGCCACCCTGTGGAAAAATAAGTGTTCATGTTGGTAGAATGGTTTTTAAAGCTTTCACAGAAAAGGCTCACAGAAAAATTAACCTCATTATAAAAGACCTGGGGAAAACATGTCCATTGCTAGGGGCTACAGTACAACAGAAGTAAGCCCCATTGAAAATAGTAGTGCTTCCTTCTGAGGGGAAAGCCTTTCTGAAAAGTAAATGGCTGCAAACCCTTGCTTTTCCAGGTGGCTGCAAAGTGATTTTAGGTATGGCACACATGGCTCCCACAGCAATTTTCAGGAACTGTCCAACATTATGTGTGTCAGCCAAAAATAAGCAGTTCAAGGTCCCCGTTATTTCAATGGGAGAGTTAACCTCCTGCTATAAGTCTTCTCCACTCAGTTCAATATGACTTAAAACTGCTGGGTTATGCCCTTAGTTTAAGACATTCCTTTAAAATAACTTAAACAGTTTTAAAAATTGGAATTGATGAAGCCTTTCAATCTTTCTGGAACAAAGTGTTGGGTCTACAAAAAAAACAACAACCCTACTTCATTAATCTCATAACATCACAAACAAACAGTTAAATAGGAAGCAAGTTTTGAAAAACATACAAATGCCAAGTAGTTAATATTTCTATGTTGTTCAGTGATGCAAACTATTACATTATTTCTTTCTTTCTACAAACCAGCAGCAATGCATCCTTACCATATATTCCATATTGGAAGCTTGTGGATACACCTGACCCCGTAATTTATTATGAAGATCCAAGATACTTTGCATATCACTGTCAGTGATAGCTCTTTTTCCTCTTTGCTTGGCGATCCACCATTCGCCATCCTCGTCCATGTATTTTTCTAGCATCTCCTCAAATAGTGTTGCATTGGGGAGTACCATAGCAGAAACTGCTTGAGCTATGAATAGCAAGGCAGTTACTCTGAAGCAGTCTTCCACTACACTCTTCATGATGAATGATTAAAAAAAACTCCTCTGGGTTAACTCCAAAATAAAGGCTTCTTCCAAGTTGACTTGCTGCAAAAGCAAAAGAGAGTGAGGTTATTCTGAAGCTAAGGTACAGTTAGGAATTAATTTGGTGAACAACAAAAGTGAAACTGTGCTTTAAAGAGGAGGGTTCTAGTGTGGTAGCTAGGGGACTGTCTAAGAAGCCAACTAATGCAGACACCCAACAATTATACTGTATGTATGAGATGATAATTTATCTTCATTCTCATGAACTGAAGGATGCTGTACAAATATATTTGAAGGCACAGTTGCAAGCCTGCATGAAAGAAACCCATTCTCTCGATGAAAGCACAGGCAGTCATAGAATTAGCAGATTAATTCTGCCCTCATAAGCTCATCTGAAAATATTTTTATAACTTCAAGATGCATGATGAGCCTAAAATAAACGTAAGAAGATATCCAGGAGATCATGCCGAAAGCTAGCTTTCTGAGTCAGATTTTTCTAAAAAATAAAAATTAAAGGCACAATCTAGCCAAATGTCCTAAATTCACTTATTCGGGATGAATCCCCAGTAAATACTGAAGTACTTGCTTGTAAGTAAATGTGCATAGGGCTGTGCTGCATATCTCATTGATTCTCACTGAAATCCATGTGCTTAACTCTCCCACCAAAATGTAAAAGTACTTAATGTTGGCTCAATCATGCCACAAGTCTGGTGAAAAGCCTTTGCCAAACATTTAAAAAATCTTTTCAACGCCCATCATAACAACAAATTATAATAAGGTTTTCAAAATCTATAAACTGCAGCCTAAGTTTACTCTACCTTACAATTAATAGTCACCTTGGAGTATTGCTGACACTCTTAAAAATGATTCTAGTAGATGTCCTGAACAGAGAGGGCAGTTCTCACACAGAAATGAATGGAGCGCACATCATTTAATTTATATCAACAGAGGATTGCTTAGCTTGGAAAGGGGCCACAACCATATAAACGTTTCAGCATCCCCTGCATTCAAAGCTGTGAACCAAATGATCGGGGGCGGGGGGAGGTGGGCAAGAAACAGAGCGCGTTTATTATTGAAGAAAATGTCAGTGCCGGCAGTAATTTGCTACCTCCCACCTATCATCATATGGCCATCTTAAACAGTGTGGGGTTTTGCCCATTACGAACCATTCAGACCGGCTCCCTGGTCTTCCTGCGTTTCTGTCACATGAGGGGGGGCACTTTATCTCAGAAACTTTTAAAAAGAAAACTTTAGCTGCCCTTATACTAAACAATCACAGCTCGGAATCCTGCAAGATGCCACGTTTGGTCTTCATCCTCGAGATGTTCAGCGGTCCATAAGCTTTGATGAAGTCCACCCTTTGCACAGCGCCCCCCCCCCCCAAGTTCCCTTTGCCCCGTCCGTGCTGGTTTCCCGAGAGCCAAGCAGCCCCGCGCGCTACTCGATCGCCTGCCTGCCTGCCAGCGTGACTTTTCCGCTGGCTACCTTGATCTCTATGGAGGAGGGCGGGAGTGAGGAGGCACGGAGAGAGAGGAGAGAGAGAGAGAGGCAGAAGCGTTGCCGGCTCGTTCCTTCACGTCTCCCCCCGTTGCGCTTCGGCAGAACTGCAGTTCATTTCCCGGCAGGGATGCCGAGAGAGCGCGCGGCAGTTCGCCGGAGTGAAGCAAAGCTCTTACCTCGGGCCTCTCTGGGGTCTCGCTTACGCGGCTCGGGGGAGAGCCGAGCGCGCCTTCTCCCCTCAGCTCCTATCCCACCGAGGAGGTGAAAGGCGGGTTCGGGGCCTGTGAGAAGCCAGCAGGCGCCTGCTGCAAACTTTGGCTCGTCCAAGTTTCTCGCCCCCTCCTTTTTTTTTTCTTATCCCCTCAGCGCGGCCACTTCTCCCGCGCTCTGGCTACGTGGGGGCCTCCCGCCTTTTCCCCCCTCAGCTGTGCAGGGACGGAGCACGGTCTGCCGCCTCTCAGTGGCAGCCGCTGGTGAGCCCGAGGAGCTGAGGCGCTGCTCTGTTTCGCCTCCTTGGCCACCGGCAGCCCTTTATCCCGAGCTCGGAGGGCGCCCACACCCACCAGGACGCGCCCGCCCTGCTCGTTCACCGCGCCGGCCCGCCCGCCTGCCGGCCAGAGCCACCTCCGGCCTGACCCCGTTTTGGGTGACTGGATGCCGCAGCAGCCCACGTCAGGGGCTCCGGTGAGACGCTAAGCGTGATGTCACTCAAAGACCTGCTCGAGGGCGGGTCAGTGGACAATTAGCCGAGCTCGTGTGGGAAAGGGGCGGGGCGCGGAGTTGCCGGGCTGGCCTGAAAGTGGTCCAGGGATTTCCAGGAGAGGGAGGCCTGTCCTGCTCTTCAAGAGAAGCCACTGGGACCTTCTGCCATGGAGATGCAGTGAGGGGGAAGCCTTCAGGAAGAGGTAGAATTGTAGCCCACCTAAAGGTAAAGGTAAAGGTAAAGGGACCCCTGACTATTAGGTCCAGTCATGGATGACTCTGGGGTTGCGGTGCTCATCTCGCTTTATTGGCCGAGGGAGCCAGCATACAGCTTCCAGATCATGTGGCCAGGATGACTAAGCCGCTTCTGGCGAACCAGAGCAGCACACAGAAACGCCGTTTACCTTCCCGCCGGAGTGGTACCTATTTATCTACTTGCACTGGCGTGCTTTCAAACTGCTAGGTTGGCAGGAGCAGGGACCAAGCAACGGGAGCTCACCCCATCATGGGGATTCGAACCACCAACCTTCTGATCGGCAAGTCCTAGGCTCTGTGGTTTAACCCACAGCGCCACCCGCGTCCCGCCTAGATGAACTCAAAAGGTTAAAAAGTGTGCTCAGCTCCAGAGGCAGAGGCAGTTTTGCACCTGAAACATGGGAGCCAACTCCTGGGGGGCAAGGTGCCTTTGCCTCTCCTATAAAATATTTGAGGGGGCTGAGCCCCCGCCCCCCCCAGTTGATGTGTCACATAGTTGATTCAAATAGTGAGTGTGCCATGTTTTGTGATAGATTATGTAGGCTGGGGCTTACCTGCCCCTGCCTCCCCCCCAATATTTTATTCAAGTTGACACCCCTGACCTGAAATAAATAAACTGATTACCCTCTGGAAGGAGTGGAGATCCACCTAGAAATAATGGCAGGAAATCCTTGTTGGTAGTTAGGACCAACATGCCACCATCCAGCCCACATGGTTCACACCTTGGTGCTGATTAGGCCACAGAAAAGTGGCAGCCAGGTGTGACACAGGTAACATTTGATGTATGTTTATGTCACGTCACACCACTTTGAGGTAAGCTGGTGCCACTGAGCATGTTTTGGTTGTGACATAGGAAGCCAGGTTGATGCCAATGAAAACTCCCATTGCTAATCATCCCTGCACTTGAATACAAAAGAAATATTTCAGTGGTCCAGTTGAGGTGTACTAGAGAAACAAGAAGGGGACGACAGAGGACGAGATGGTTGGACAGTGTTCTCGAAGCTACCAGCATGAGTTTGATCAAACTGCGGGAGGCAGTGGAAGACAGGAGTTCCTGGCGTGCTCTGGTCCATGGGGTCACGAAGAGTCGGACACGACTAAATGACTAAACAACAAGAGAAACAACAGAGGTAGAGTGTAGCATCATATCAGCTGAGGTCATTTCTTTTACCATCTTGAGATACTCAGTGGCAGTTTGCCATATCATATAAATCAAAGTCTAGCAATAACTAGGATAACCTGGTCATGAGTAACCTTATTCTCATTTCGTAAGTTTATTGTGCCATGACAATTACATTATAATATACCTAATACAAACATAATAGCAACATAACAAACATCAACAATATAAAAGAAAAACAGAAGTGCCATCAGCAAACTCAACTTCTGATTAAGCCTCAGAATCTCCAGAACAACTTCCATCAATATTATCTAGTTCACTGTTTCTAATCTTTTTTTGCTACAGTAACCTGTAGCCAAAAATGTTGTGTTTGTGTTTCAGTGATGTCTGCTTGGGCTGACATGCAACCTTGCATACTCCTACACCGTCAGAATTTAAATGAAAAAGATTATTTCACTTTACTCTGGTCTGATCCAGCCAGGCTCTTCTTATGATCTGATATACTGATTTTGTATCTGCTCTTAAAAATTTATTGCAGTTTTTATGTTCAGGAAAATATAACAGAAACGATAGATCTTAAGATGATTACAATTTCAGTTTGGGCTGTTAAATTATCAGAAAGTAAATAAGCACTTAAACTTTATGACTGTGCTCTGACTGCATTTGTTTGATTTGTGGGAACATAACATTTTTGCAACCTTGACAAATGTGGGTTTGACCGAGGCTAGAATCAGTCTCCATACAGACATTAGATTCAAAGTGAATTACTTACATGGAAGGTAGATAAGAATTTACTTTGCATTAGATTATCTCTAACTAGTAAGTTTGCAACTGATCTTATTAAGAACACACACACACACACACACACACACACTCTTTATTTATTGGGTAAAACTCTTATCCTGACAGATATTAAAATGCTTTCCCCCCCCAAAAAAAAAACCCACTTACATGTATTGCTTAAGACTTTAGATGTTTAAAGTAAAAACCTTCTTGTGAATTTCAGGTGACAAAGAAGAGGGAGTTGTTATTGTACGGATTTACTGCTTAGGACCACTTCACAGATCACAACAAAATGGGGCCTACTGTCTACACTGCAGGTTAGCTGCACCATGAAGAATATTTGAAGAGCATTCATATGAAAGTCTTTCATAAATACATGCTACAAGTCTGTGGTTTCCATTAATATATTTACAATAAATTTGTGGGCACACACATATTCTTAAAACTAGTGGTGGGGACCTGTGGCTCTCTAGATGATGCTGGGCATCATCCTTGACTATTGGCCAAGCTGGCTCTGGTTGAGGCGAGTTATAGTCCAACAACATCTGGAGGGTCATTGGCTTTCCATCTCTCCACATTACAAAAATAGACTGAGTGGAAATGTGACAACCCATCCTTGATGGTAAGAAACAATGGTGATCAGTCCAAAGCCCAAATACTGAGACCTTCTGACAAACACTTGACTTTAGATGGAGATGGACTGGATGAGCTCACAACCACTTCTTCAGAGGATTTGGTTTTGCCGCCAGAATGATTTTGTTTTTTCCTAAGCTATTCTCAGCTGCTTTCTTTTTCCCTACTGGTGGCAATGGTGGCCTAAGAGAATAACATGAAATATAGCCTTGTGGGTAACCAGCACATTTTTCTGCAATCATGGTTTAGCATAATTATATGACTGGGAAGGACCACACTGCTGTCACACTCTTTCACAAATGAATTCCAGGGGGATTTTGTAAGTGAGGATGTTCAGATAGAAAGGGCAGATGCCCTTCATTGCTCTGTGGTTCTACAGAAGGACGATTAATCAGACCACTTTCCTGCTTCATCAGCTTACATCATATAGATGAACTGCAATCAGAAAAAAATGCCCTAGCCAAACTGGTGACAAGAATGCAGTCAGACCCTGTGGTGAACTGATGCTGACAATCTGCCTAGCCTTCTGTAAGGCAACCAATAACAGCCAGTGCCACTTAACATTGTAAGAAGACACTATTTTATACAGGTCTCAAGACTTCTCTCACAGACAGCACACCTCACTCACTAGCAACTTCAGAAAAGGGCAACCAAAATTATAAAGTGGGTGGAGGAAAACTTGCAGCATTGGGGACTTTTTTCCATTTGGAGTAAAGGTGAGTTATATGTGACATGATAGGCATTTATAAAATTATGCATGACATGGAGAAAATGTACAGAAAAAAGTTATTCTCCATCCTCCATAACACTCAAATTCATGGACTTCCAATGAAGCTGAATCTCAGAAGATTTTTATTTTATTTATAAAAATATTTATATCCTGATGTATTGTTAAAAAATACATCACAGTGGTTTACATTAATGTAAAAACTTAAAACCAAACAATAGCACCATAAAAGGGGGGAACAAGTTTAAAGCAAAACAAAAATAAAAATAAGTTCTTCTTCATACAATGCATAGTAAAATTATGGAATTCACCATTGTTCACAGACTAGGGGAATTGGAGTCCAACAACATCTGGATGGCCACAGGTTCCTCATCCCTGATGGATTCATGTGAGCATGGAGGGACGAAGCAGGATCTTGATGGAAGGCTCTGCCTCCAATCAATGTATCTTAAGTAAATTGTGTGAACAGACTATGTGCATGCAAACTCTATGTGTGCAAACTCTGCAGATTTACTGCAGCCCCTGTATCTTAAGATCCATACAGTCTTAAGTGCATAAATGCACACAATCTGGAGGTGTGTAGGTCAGAGTCAGGGTCACAACACCATGGCTCACTTCCCCACCAGTTCCTTGACCTATAAACACTCAATTGGCTTTTGTGTGTGATGATGGGAACTGTTAACTATTGGTGCTGGCCCAAGACATTTCGCTACCTGAATAGGAGCCCAAAAGTTCCCTTCCACACACATAATTTCTAGGGTCAATATTTTTTTAAGTCTTGCTGCATCCTTAAGGTATCATTTCCGACCATCATATAGCCCATCCCTTTGAACCGGGTTTCTTCACCCCGCTACATAGTGGGTCAGGCCCATTGCCCATTTCCAACATCCAAGAAGACTGTGTGATGGTTGTACTAAGGTATTGCAGAAGGAGGCAGCAGCTTATGGATCCCACTTGGACACCTCTAGGAGAGAAGGCAGCCTATGAGTAGCACACCTTATGAGTAGCACAGTTCTTTTCCAATAATCTAGGTCCTAGATTATAATTATCCTAGATTATTATAATCTAGGTTCCTAGATTCTAGGAAACCCTCAATGCATAGAATAGTTTGAAAGTCTGGGGCAACAAAATCTCAGATAAGCATCCTTGGCAACCAGGAAAACAGGCCATTACTCCTCCGCCTGGAATCTTGTATTCATAGAACTGTCCTCTTTCAAGCAGCCATGGCATCTTCAAGGCAATGTACCTCATGGCCCTGTTAGGACAGTGGGGTAGGCTTAGAACAAGACCTAATTCAAGCAATCTTTCTGAGCTAGGAGAAAGTAATACACAAGCACCTCCACATCTCATTCTATGCTACGCTACAAGGAATAGGATGTTCCACCCCAAATATTTTTCCATATATATTGCAGCCTCTTTTCCATACTCATGAAGAAAGGCAGGGAAGGATTTTTGCTCCATTGATTGGCATGGATATTTTTTTTTGGGGGGGGTGGTATAATCAGGAACCCTAGCCCCCAAGGAGACTGTGTTCCCATTCAAGGATTTCATGCACCCAGTGCCTGGAACTCTGGCACCCAAGGCATCTTACCATACTGGCTATTGGATCCAACATCTATTGCCCAGCTCCTTGCCTATTTGCTAGCATGCTATTCACATTCCTTTTGAATGTCCCTCAAAGTCTCATTTAAATTCTCACAACCAGCAGATTGCATTTAACAAAATGATGGGAAATGCCATGTGAATATTGCTCAATTTCAGTAATTGTATGCAGTTCTGAATAAAAAAATTGCAATGGCCAGTGAGCCAAAAATGCAAGCATATATTATGTATGATCATTAGTAGCTCCTTAGTATTGCCCAGCAGCAGTTTGGCTAGACTTGTTAAGTTTTTATTAATATTTTAAAGTTTATGGAAAAAATATTTTAATTATTGAGTTGGATTATATAAAGATTAAAGCACTGTTTCCAGCTATACTCAAGGAGCACTCAGAAGAGACCTCATGAAAATCAGATTTCTCCCGTAAATCCCATAAGATGGATTCAATTTCCATTTTAATTAATAGCTTATTTGCTAGTCATTTGCAATTCAGCTTACGGGCAAGAGTGCTAACCTGGCTAAACAGTGTTTCCTTGTACTGGGCAAATTGTTTTATAATGTTAGGCCAGGTTCCCCCCTCCATTTCTGACTTTATGGATTCTCTGAAGAATCATTATGTGAATAATAAGACAAGTATTGAGTTACAAGTAGCATTGGCAGAGCAAACGTATCTACTTCGCAGGGCACCTTATCTGTACTTGTGATAGACCATGTTCTGGATCTATGGTGGGCTGATGAATTGATGGTCTTATGGTAGGAAGTATATTTCCTTTTCGCCTTTTCCATTGCTTGGGACACAACTGAGCAAAAATTAGTCATGAGTAATTGCCCACTGAAAGCAGAGGAACAGGCCCATCTACACCCCGTTGCTTTCAGTAGGACTATCTCATAGCTAACATTTTGCAGATGACGACAGCACAATAACCTCCACAACATATATAAGCTATGGTTGTCTATGCAGGGCATTGTGGAATACATGCAAATCAATTCCGGGCCAAACATACCATTTGATATACTGCACCATGTTACCAGGCTTGCCTATGTTTCTATTTACACATACAAGTGAACACATAGATGCTTATTCACAGAAGCATGGTTTTCAGTCACTGCACTGTATAACTGTATTACTTGGAATTTATCAATGCCAATATACAGTTGGGGGAATTAGCAAAAATAAATAAATTTCAAGCAGATGCAGATTAAATGCAGATCATTGCAGATAAAGGGTGGATTTCAACATCACAGTATTATCATTCTATCAGCCAAGAGGCTTTGCTTGCCAGACTCATCATATTTGGAGTGGGGCATGCACTAAGATACTGGCAGTAGCAATGACTGGGGTTTGGACAATACATGTGTAGAAAGACATTTAGAAAATGGAAAGGAAGGATATGGTTCCCTGAGTTTCACAGTAGCCTGGGAGTGCAGAGTATACCTAGACTTTAGCAAAGCCTAAGCATGAGTTCCTTTAGTGGCTGGTCTGCTCTAGCTCAGAGTGAGAGCTTGCAAGGTTTTAAGCATGGATTTTTTTAAATTTCCTGTTCAGAAATGGGACAGACTGAACTTTAATGGTTGCATCCACCTTGAGTCTTCGGGCATACACAGGGTTGCAGCTGAACCAGGCTTCTCAGTAATGCACCACATTACCCAATAGTGGATCAAATGTTAAATTGGCATAATTTACGCAAACATCATGCTCAGGAGAATGTGGTCAGTTAATAAAATGCAATGTATTAAAAATGACATGGCACAATCCAGGGAAAATTAAAGGTGCACTTTATCCCATTGAAATCTGAAGGATTCAACACTGCTTAACTCTGGCCATCATGTGCCCACTGTTTGCAGATAATCAAAGATGCTGTTCCAATCCACTAGTTTAAGTGCCTTGTTCAAAAGGAATGATGACATCCTAAACGAAGCCACCATAGATGCAGAACACAAGTCCTGCACAGGCATTCCAGTCACCCATGCGCTTAGAATCAATGGCGGGAGAGGAGTAAAGAACACGCTAGCTCTCCTTCCCCCAACACTGTTCTTCTCACCCTTCATGAGGTGGACGCAAACATCTGCAGCTCCGTGAACAATTTAGAACTCAAAATTGCATAGGGAGCCTGCCTGACTAGAAAGAGCTCTGCACTTCCGAAGATTCTGCTTCCATGTCCTTGAGGGCTACAGGGACAGTGGCAGAGAAGAAAGCCAGCATGCTCATCCCTGAATAGGGCTCTAGTTGACCTTCTAAGGAATCATCTGTGGTCAGGAGAAGTTCATCAAGTGGGGCAGAGCTGCAACACTCACTTCGTGGTGGGGAGGGCTACTGTGGCTTCCCAGGGGGAGGAGGGAGGTGGTGGGGAGATTGCTGTCGTGCAAAGCATTAATACAAGCACCCGATTGGCTCTGCGGGTGTAGTGCATTTTTATCTGTTCTAC